AAAAACTCGCTGCAAAACAAATGTTGAATACTATTTGTGCTTTCCTCCTTTTTTTGGTAAAAGCAAAAATTCTCCTCAGTCTTTTAGTGAAAACAGGCACTAGTGCAGGTCTTTCCTAAAAGTGAAGTGGCGCAAAGCAAACTTTCGAAAAGCAGGAGTTACAATACTTTTCTTTTTCAAAGTGCTGTTGCTCTATTTGTTAAATTTCCAATAAGAATTTGTTCTGTGATTGCTTGCTCTTTGGAACAGTGGGTACATGGAGGGGGAAAAAGCAGCGAACTGAGGGTTATGGAAAGTTAAATTTTAGTTTAACCGAAGTAGTCTCCTGCTTAGCAAAGTGAAATGTCCTAAATGCTTGGTTTTCCCTTCACCCCTGCATGTTCCAGGAATGTGTTGAATTGCTCTGCAAGACTGAGTACTTGTGAGCAAGTTATTGGGACTGAACGCTGCTCCCGCACCCATTTTCCAATCATGTGTGATGGCTGCCAAGGTGAAAAACTAACTTTCTGGTTTTCACAGGATCGGTAACCCATCTTCTCCCCATGTTATCAGTCACAGTTAGACTATATGCTTCTACCTTCTCCGAAACCTTCCCAGGGCTCTCTGAGGAGCCCCATCTCACAACGACACACGGACAGCCACCCTCTGCCTGGGAGTCCTCACCCAGGCACACTCAGACCTTCCGACCATATCTTATCTAGTAGTTTATTCTCTGCTTCCACTCAGACCTCCCCCTGACCCACAGCCTGTAAGCAGTTTGAGGTCAGAACCTGCATCTCATTCATCTGTAGCTCGTATTTCTGCAGAGACTCTCTCTCCCCAAGCAGTCTTGTTTATACATATTCAGAAGCTTCCATATACCTTTTTTTGTAGTTTGGAAAATATCAGGAACATCCAAAATCTCAGAGGCTAATAATTCACTGTGGTCTGAATAAATACTCTAAGCTACATACTTTTTTCTCCCTCTCCGGAGTGCCTGGAGAAAACAACCGTGTCCTGGACCCCAAGGACCCAGGAAGCCTCCTAGCTGGATGGGGGCACATGCTGTGTGTGTGCCAGGGGGTCAGCTGGGGGAAGGAGGAGTCCTCTGACTTGCACCACTTCCTGTCCACCTGCACCTGGCCTGGACCTGCAGACTCAGGGGGTTTGGCCACAGGCAGAGAAAATGGTAAGACATGAGACAGGAATTCGGGACCAAGAGCGCAGGCCGTGCAGGCGGGTGAGCTGGGATGAAGTGGAGATGAAGGGTCAGATGGTATTGAACCTGTCATCTACCTGGCTCCACACTCTGGTGAGTGGAGCTCATCCCCTCAGCCAAGGCCTCACTGCCCGTCCTCACGCCACCCCACCAACCAGTCAGCAGGAGGCTGCAGTGCTGGTGACCACCGTGGACAGAGATGCAGGTGGAGCTGAGAGGTGGGGGGGATGTAGCATACTTGAGGGGTGTGAGTGGCAGGACAGGTAGCGAGGCTGGCTGAGAACAGATCCCAAATCTCTGTGGGACAACTCATAGAAGCGGCTTTCAGTATTTTTTCATCATGACCCATGGTAAGGAATACATTTTACATCATGATCCAGTACCTATGTCTGTGCGCGTATAGTAAAACTGAAATAAAAAGTCACAAAGCAGTACGTACCATGCTACAAGTGATGTACTCCATCACGTGCTGATCTCACCCTACTAATCTGACTTCATGACTCCTTAGTGGGTCATAGCCGGCAACTTGAAACAATCTGCCCTATTGTGTGTCAGCCATTTCGGAAGGCCTTTGAGCCTTTGGAATTTCTGCTCTGCACAGTGCTCCCCACTGACTGTGTGCCTGCTGTATGCAGACACCATGCTCATGCTGGGTGGGGGCGGCTCCGGGATGGGAGGCCACAGAGACTACATCACACACACAGACCAGAGGACTGTCTGTACAAGGTGGCAGCAATGAGGCTGCCACATGCTATCTAGATGTACGACCTGAGGGCATCCTGCTACCGGTGAGCAGCAAGGACGGGGACCCCCTGCCCCCAGGTTGAATCAGAAAACAGACAGCAGTGTCCCTGTCCCTCCCAGCCTGCATACCCTGTTGTGGTCCTGTCCCTTCTCCCTTCCACGCTGTCTCCTCTTCCTGCACCATGGCCCTGAGAGTGGAGGAAGATCTGACAGCAGCACTATTCAGAAACAAGAAGCTGATGCCGCTGCCCCCGGGCAGCTTCTGGGCCTTCCCGAGGCCAGGCAGAGGCATCTTTTAAGGAGGTCCCTTCAGAGGTTCCTTCGGATGCACCTAGGGGCTTGTTTCAGAGCTGCTTGTTCTCTATTGAACTAAAGTTTAAAGGTGTCTTACGCATCTCCAATTTATTTCTTTAAAACATTTTTATTTTCGTTTTCCACTACCCTCTGAGGGCTCCGAAGTGGAAAAATAAGCCACTCTTAAGGCATTCTAAGCTCCTACTGCAATTATCCCAATGAGACCCTGCAGGAGATCGGCTACAATCTGTGAACGGCGCAAAGCTGTTTCCATAATGAAGGACCGAGCCGCCCTCACCTTCCTCACTGTGATTTTTGCCCTCTTCCCTCCAACGGGGCTGTGAAGGCTGTGGCCTGGCCTTCCACTGCCTTAGGAGTTAGGAAGCCATCCACGTAACTAGGATGGATCAGAGAGAGGTAGAAGATAGAAGTGAGGGGATTCCCGAGAGGGAACCACAGCTGCCTCTACGTGCCCCTTCTCTCCACCCGTGCAGGGAGAACACCCAGGGCCCACAGTGGAGCAGGTCCTGGGGTCAGCCAAGCGCCTCTGGGAGCCACTGGGCACTTGGGGAGAAACAGGAGGCTCTGCTGAATGGGGGCAGTTCCCAGCATCTCCACTTCCCCCAGGCCTGGCCCAGGCTGGGCAGCAGGGGTCTCTGCACAGACTGAACTGATGGGGAAACACAACCCAGTGCCGGATGTCTCTTTCACCTGGCCAGGTTTGCAATAAACACTCGGCCATGAAGGCAGGGGGAATGTCTTAGCGCCTCAGTTTCTACATCTATCAAACGGGACGATTACCCTGTTGCCTTGGGCCTGCACACAAGCATTCTCGGTAAACTATAAGATGCTTCCATGGGTAGAGTTATTGCTGTCACTCTGAAGAAAGGCAGAGATATGTTTACGAGAGAATGAGTCACAACAGCTGAATTTTTTCCTCTGGGAGCTGTTGCCGCTAAGGGATGCTGTCAGCCTTGTGGGAGAAGGATTGGGGGATCTGTGTTGCCTGGTACCACCCACTTTGGGGATAGTCACTTCTGTACTGCAGCCAGTACAGACGCCCACTCCCTAGCTCTCCTGCTTGGGGAAAAGGCACCTTCTGGGGTGTGGTGGGGAGACCCTCCATTTTAAAGCTGAGGAGAAGCTGAGGCTCAGAGAGGTGACATGAGTCTTCCAAGGCTGCAGGTAGGAAGTGGGGAAGCCACAGGCCAACACTTGTCCCGACCTGCCTGCCTGCACGATGCATGCAGCTCTGGCCTCAACATCAATCAGAAATAGCCCCTGCTTGGTTACTGCTCCATTTGGATAAGTGGCCGAAGGAAGTGGAGGCATCAGGAATGGGCTCTAAGAACAAGATGGAGGGAGGAAAGGCCGAGCAAGGAGGACCTGGCTGAGAATGAAGGGCTCAGCAAGAGACCCCGGGGGTCAGGACAGCACAGGCGGAAGCGCCTTGCAGTAAAAAGGCACTTCTAGGCATGTTCCTTCTGCTTCAAGACAGCACAAGGGTCTGAGTGATCGGGGGGCCAAACCAGGGGCCAGCCACTCAGGGATCCTGGTCTTGGGAGAGCAAGACTGAACCAGAGCCCACCCCAGGCCTTCCCAGAGGTAAGGGAACCCCACCTCGGGCACAGGGCTGAGTTTTAGAATCATGTATTCTCATCCTGGCACTTCTGCAGTCTTACTGTGCAACCCAAGGCTCTCTAACCCCGCAGAGGTTTATTCGTCTCAGTTTATTCGTCTGTAAAAGGATGGACCCACAAACTCAGAGGTTGGCCATTCCCACCTTCCACTCAGTGAGGGCGGGAGCCCTGCTGGCAGCATCCCTGATAGATGGGCCGCTCATCAGTGCACGAGGCAGGCCACCCTCCATCAAGCAGCTCCAGACCACTAGAGACCTCTTGCTTTTAATCAAATGGCATAATGGTTGTGAAAGAGCTTACAAAAATAAAAGCATAACTGAAGGAGGCTATTATCAACACCATCAAAACCAGAGGCAACATGAGAGAGGGAGAAATGGGGCTGAAGGTGGGCTTCCTGGGCCCGCCCAGGTCGCTGCGGGAGGGAGCTGAGGAGGAGGGGTATAGAGGGCCCCTGTGAGTGCTGGGCTCTCTCTCAGGAGATTGGACAGCAGCTGGAGACACACTCAGGTCCTGCTGAGAAGGAGGTAACTGCTACAAAAGGAGGAAAAGAACCACTCCCCTCACTCAGAGGAACCCAGCACACTGGAGTCTGCTATTTGCAGAAAGCTCATCTCCAACCCAGAGGGCGAGACCCTCTGGTTCCCTGGGGGAGCATATTTACACGGGAAGGCACAGAGGGGCTGTTCTGAATATGTTTGCCTATCGGCTCCTGCTTAATAACAGTAAAGAGCTCACTGTGAAGCCAGGGACTTGGGCAGGAGTCAAAGCACAGAGGGTCCAAGCTGAAGAGTCACAGTCACAGCCGAGACTCACAGAGACGCGAGAGGGAGAGCTCGTGACCCAGTGTGGCCCAGCTAGTTCAGGGCTCGCTGTGGGGAAAGCCCAGGCCTGCCACCTGCCAGGGGAAAGCAAGTGTCCAACCCGGCCCCTGGCAGGTGGCAGGGCCTCCTAACGGTTACCTTCCCAGGCTCCGTGCCCTGTGCTCAGGAATCTCAGACCAGAAAGCCCAACCTTGCCCAGAGCCCCGTGTCTTGTGCCCTGTGAGCCTCACTCAGGAAAGGGAGCTCAGAGGAGGAACGGCAGACAGAGGGAGACAAGGGGCCAGGTAGGCTGGGTCCACTCACCCACGATCTCGTTCTCCTCCAGATTGATGGTCTCCAGAGCAGGCAGTGTGGTGAGCTGCTCCGGGAAGTCATGGAACTGGTTCCGGGACAGGTCGATGGCCTTGAGGTGCTGTAGGGTGCTGACCTCATTGGGGAGGCGGTGCAGGAAGTTCCCTTCCAGGCGGAGCTCTGCCAGGTGGGGAGGAAGAGAAAGGGCGGGTCAAAGGGGAGCCACCCAGAGACCGCATTGACTGCCGGCCACTAGGGCCAGAAGGCAGAGAGGGAACTAAGGCCAAAAGGAAGTCCCCCCAGGGGCTAATTCCATATTAATGCAAAAGGAGAGGTAACTCCCTCCACCACTGCTACCCCTCATTCCAGCTGGGCTCCCTGCTTTTGGCTTTGGAATGGAAGGCTCTCCCGACAGAAGCCTGGGCCTCAACGTGCTGGCACGTGCCTTAGACAGGGCTTCAACTCCAGGCCTTGATGGGACAGGTCAGGACAGGCAGCCCCCAGGCTCCCACACCCCACAGCCCATCTGACGGACCCCACCTCCCACTGCCCTTCTGCTCAGCGAGCCACCAGGGGCAGCCAAGTTCTTTCTGCATCAAGTGACCCTGCTCCCCAGCCTAGTCACTGCTGGACAGATGATCGTGGGCTCCTGCTCTTAGAGTGTCTACTACCAAAGCTGACGGCAGCCCACGCAGGGTCCTGTGTGAGGGGTGAGCTGGGACGGTGGGAGGCCCTCTGCTGGGAACCAAGGCAGGGCTGGGGGCTGTGGAGGCTGACGCTGAAATGTGTGATCTACCTGGAGAAAAGGTGGGGTGCCCCCAGGGCCCTGTGCAAGGAGAAGGGATGGGGCGGACACTGAGATACAACAGGCCCCCTGCCTCGCCATGCCGGGGCTCTGGCAGACAGGAACTGCATCTGATTCATCTTTGTTCCCTACAATCAGTCCCCAGAGGGACGCCTTGTGGTCAATTAGCAAATATCTGATGAATGATGACTCTTCTCCCCTGCAAGAGGCAAACAGGTAACCAGGGGGCCTGGCCTGCCTCTTATTCTCCATCTTCAGGAATATCCTGAAGGCAAGACTCCATCAGCAGAACCAGGGCTGGTCCCACACAAACCCGGACCTCCAGCAGCCAGGTTCTTAGATAGCCACGCCTTCAACTAGACAACAGCCCTGCCCAGATCACAGTTATCAGGTCACAGTGCTGGAAGGGACATGAGAGAACATCTAGTCCTGTGCTCCCCAAGTGCACCTCTGCCAGACAGCATTTCCTCAGACTCTGAGCACGCTGCCACCTGGGTCTCCAGGTGGCTCCCTCTGTCCAGAATGCTCTTTACCAATATATTTGCAAGACTGGCGCATTACTCCATTTGCGTTTGCTCAAATGTCATCCAACCTGAAGTAGGATCATGTCCCATGGGTTCCTATCCCCTTCCCAGAGGTATCTGCATTCATAGCATCTGTCAGTACCTAATGCATCCCCGTGTTTGTATGCTGCCAGCCTCTGCCCACGAGAACGGAAGCTGCATGACAGTGGGGCTTCATCTCCGCTGTAGAAACATGCCCCTACCTGTGCCCGGTGAGTACTGTGTAAATATTTGATGAGCACACAAATGAATAAATGAGTGCATATGAGTATCACTCACAAATTTTTGCCAAAGTTCTGTTCCACACATATCCTTGTTTTTCCTTGAATTGATTTGTTCCTTTTTTACTTATATATAAAAATGGGAAAAGTTGTTATTGCCTTCCACACAAACAGTGTTGCTTAATTCTTGCTGGACACTGTTACCAAGTGAAGAATCTGGGCCCCAGGCAGATGTGCACCCGTGGAGGGGATGTGCGGAGAACCCTGCAGGCGGGAGTGAGCTGGTACGGGGCCAGCCGGGGCCAGCCGGGGCCAGGCAGGGGGCAGCTGCCTCGTGGAGTCTCTCAGAAGCCACTTCCCTGGAAAGAATATTTGTTCTCGGGTGAGAATGTGGCCCATTCTTCCCAGCTGTTTGGTTCCTGTTTAGGGCATTTCTCCAAGCCCTTGTTTTCTAGGAAAGTGCCTACCATGCTGGATGTGGGCTGGTGGCCACAGCACCTCCAAATCCCCGACTTCCAGCCAAGCAGCCAGTGGGGCCTGTAATGGGCCACTTCAGGAGCTGGCCTGGCCCCCACGGGGCAGCAGAGGGCACAGTTCCACTTGCCGAGCTGGACAGCAGGCGCCACTCAGTGTTACAGATAGGGAGGTGGCCACTGTGCTCAGCTGTCACACGGTCAGGAATCCCATCACTCTGAGAAGGCTTCCTCACATCCTGGCCCCGGACCCTGCCTTCCAGGAACCTGCTGCATTCCCCTGGCAGGTCCTGTCCACTGGGTTACACAGATGAGGTTGGGGTTGGGGGCTTGTAGTGAGAGGCCGTACGGGGTGGGCGTGACAGACTCAGGCTCTGGGGCCTGGTGTCTCCGGGTCCTGATTCAGGTTCTGTCACGTTCTGACTGTGTGACCTTGGGCAAATTGTTTTTCTTTATCTCTGCCTCTGTTTCTTCATCTGTAAGATGAGGACAGGACTAGACTTTCTATAGGATTGCTGTGAATTGATACATGAGAAAGGCTTTGACCAGTGCTAGGCACACAGTCAATGCTATGGGGCTGATACCATGCTAACTGCTTTCTGTGCAGGGTCTCCTTTAAGTCTCGTGACCGCCCCACAAGGTCAGCATTAGCATCATCCCCATTCTGCAGATGAGATGACTGAGGCTTGGGGAAGTTCAGTACTTAAGGCCAAATCCTGCAGCTGTTAAGTTGCAGAGCTGGGGTTTGAACCCAGGTCCACCACCTCCAAAGACCACATGCAGATCATAGCGAGGCTGGGGGAGGAATTGGATAGACTTAAGACGGGGGAGAAGAGGTCTACCCACTACAGGGTTCTCCCCTCCTGCAGCTACGGCGACTCCTCATGCAGACTCAGAAAGCTGCCCTACCCGCACCCAGCGAGGCCTCTCTTCTGAACTTCAAGCCCTTCTGGTAACAGCCATGGACATGACCACCTGGAGGCTCCCAGAGATGGCAAACTCACAACACGACTCAGGTCCACAACACAAGCTCTCATCTTACCCCAGCCCACTCACCTCCAACCACCATCACCTCTTCCACACTCTCCAGCATGGGCATCAGCCCCACCATCTCCAAATCTGCCAACCTCTACCCCTCTCCTCCCTACTTCTGGAACCTTCTTTCCCAAGGGAAGGGCTTCTGGACATCCCATGCACCAGCGTTTGGAGGGTGGGAAAGAGACTCTCCCCCCTCTCAATTTTGTTTCCCTCCAAACACATCCTTAGGGCAGAAGCAGCCCCTGTCACCTGGACCCCTCTGCCAGCCTCCTCCCTGGCCTCCTGCTCCTCCTCCAGTTGCTCTCCAATCCATGCCATACAGTGGGGCCCATTTACCTCACGAGTGCAATTCTGAGCTCACAAACTTTCAGTGGCTCCCTAAGAGACCTGCTCCCCAAGACCTGCTCCCCAGGCCTTCAAAGCCCTTTGTGAGCAGGCCCCACAGCTCTCTGCTCCTACAGGCCCAGTGCTCACATCTGGGTATGTGCTCCAGGCTGCCCTGGAACGTACTCTGGTATGATCTCAACTAAAGCGAAACATCCCAGGAAAAGTCACACAACATCATTTTGCCAGAATCCAGCACGGCTCGGAATCCCATAAAGAAGTGGTAACCAGTTTATCTTTATTTTAGGACTTACAATGAGTCCCACACACTGCCAGGAGCTGACGCTAATTATCACATTTGATCCCCAGAACAGCTGTGCAAGATTTATCTTATCCGCTCCATTTGACAGAAGCAGAAACTGTGGCTCAGAGGGGTTAAGTAATTTGCACAAGATCACAATGCCAGGAGGCAGGGATGCCAGGATTAGAATGTCCCAGATGATCCAATGTTGGTCACAAAACATGGGACAAAGGAGCTGGTGACAAAGGAGACAGGAGGGACAGGTATGAAGGTTTACTGAGTGACACTATGTGCCATGTGATTTATTAGTTGTTCATGAAATTTCATATAATGCTCCCAATAAATTTCTATCTCAATTAATGGATGAGAGCACTGAGGCTCACAGAGGTTAAGTGACCTGCCCAAGGTCGCACATGCCTAGGAGATCCATGCCTGGTGGTCAGATGTTCCCCATGTTCCTTGAGATTCACAGATAAACGAAGGGGAAAAGAGATAGGCAGCCCTGCTTCCTTAGGGACGTGGGGTTGGGGAGGGGTCCACCCAGACACCAAGAGTAGCACAGGGCTGGGTGGAACGTTCAGGGAGCAGGGTCTCTGGGGGAGGCTGAAGACGCTTCCACGTGAAGCCCAGTTTGCACATCCTCCAGACCAAAGATAGCTTGAGCCATCCTGCTGGGGAGATGTGCCTGGGATCAGCTGGGGGCGTCTCCACAGCTGGGGAGCTGAAAAGCTTTTCATCTGACTGATATCGTTTTAATAAAAGCTCAGTGCGTCCTGCCAGGTCTCTTTCTGGGCTGTTCAATAGCTTTTCTCTGTGTCTCTATCTTGCCGCATTCATGACTCAAAGGCTCTGCAAATCTCCTGCCCTTGTGTGCGGCTAGAATGAATGTCACCCCAAGGTTTTTGTGTGATCACACCCACTCCTCTCAGGGCTGGGGGAGAAGCAGGAGGACAGGGACCCTCTGCCTAGAACACTCAACACATATTCCCTGAGCTGGGCCTGGAACCACTGAATAGTGGTCACAGCTTCACTAGATGAAAAGATCTGCCCTAATCACCTCCCTGCTCACCCTGGGCAGGCCAAACAGCTTCTACAGTCTGGGTTTTCTTGACTGTAAAATGATGTATATCCTTTCTCTTTCCTACTCCTTAGGAAAGGAAGGAGTTAAACGTTTATTGAGCACCTGTTATATGTTAAGTGCTATACACATATCGTCTCCTTTAATTTCCATAGCAACTCAGGAGTAAGTTTTATCACCTCTTTTTTCAGAGATGAAAAACCTAGAGGCTCAGAGACATTAGTTGATTTGCCCAACATTGCACAGTTAGTAAGTGGGGTAGCTGAAATCTGATACTGGATCTGTCTGGCTCCGAAGACACTGTGGGCTGCCTCCAGAGGGCAAAGGACTTTAAAAGCAGAGTTGAATGAGAGAATGATGACCCTGAGGTTGGAGAG